ATACGTACATACATACATACGTACATATATGCTCTGTTGTTAACTTGGGCATTAATATGCCCATATAAAATTTCTCGTACGCCCATCCAAAAAACGTCTTTGTTTTATCTTATAAAAAGGAATTCTCGTCGGGGTACATTGTAAAAATAAAAAAACCATTCATAAGTCTTTCGCTGTTCCTTTTTTCACGTCCTCATTCATCTGTATTACAAACAAATAAAATAATCCGGCAAAATAAAATAATAAATGATATCTTTGAAAAATACTGGTCACATCTTGTTAATTGTCATATCGATATGTATTTCTCTATTTAATTGTGGAATTTCTTGCTTTACGGATAATAATAATGCAGCACCTCGGCTAGAGAAACGTCCCTTAGACATTGACCGTACCGGCGTACCTAAACAAATACTTGTTGGAAGTTTTTTTGGAGGTAAATTATTAAAGATGTCTTTAATGTATTCAATTATCATAAATAAATGTATAAATTCATTTGAAAATTGATAAATAGGATGGAATCAAGTTCGTCCAATGTTAGAAATTTGTAAAATACTAGTTGAACGTGGATATAATGTAAGTCGGCAATTCAAACTTTCCTTCACCTACCTCAATCCTTATTTTTTTATCTTTCTTATAAATTAAGGTGACATTAGTAGCTCCTGGAGATCTATTACCATCGTCAGAGTATCCTACGATTAACCAAATTTCAACTGGTCCTTCTATAGAATCCGACGCTACGTATCAAGAACTATATCATAAAACATTTAATCGTAATCAAATGTCTAGCTTGCGTAATTTATTAGTTAAAAAATATTTAGATTATTTTGAAACATATCAACTTGCAATCAAGATGATCAAACCAGATTTATTTTTTTTGTAATGTTTTTATGTTTAATGATATTTGCTTGGATATTGCTTGGTCACTGAAAAAACCTATCGTAGGATTTAGTTCTTTGATGTTAGGTATTAAACATACATTTTTATAAACTCATAATTTGGTTAATTATTGTATTTTTACATACTAACTTGCTTGTATAAGTAGGAACGCCATTTATACCTTACAAGTCAGAAGTTTGGTACAACTGTCATGTTAATATGGAAAATGAGTCGTTCGTTAATAGATTTAGATGTGCAATTATCGAACCTATCAGATCGATTTCTGAAATGTGGTCATCTATTGATGCGTTAAATGAACTAAGGTCTACTGTTGGAATTAGACCTGTTCATAATCCCTTTGAAAGAATGAAAAATTCTTTATTCTTAGTTAACACTTTTTTTGGACTTGAAGTAAGAGTTTTTACAGTTAAAAATTTTTTTTTTCTTTTAATAAAATCAATCAGTCATATCGGCATATTTTTTATATGTAGGTACCACATCCTTTGCCACCTCTTGTACAGGTAATGTTTAAAGATTCTTGATTTTATTAAGAAAAATAATTTAGGCATGTTTCATTATTTCTTAAATATTGATTAGGAAATTGGACCCGTGATGCAAGATAAATATCCATTAATCACACCCAGACTCTCGTCATTCATATCTCCTCGTTCTCAAATCCTCTACATTTCGTTCAATCCAAATACTTTTATACGCCCAGAAACAAATATAATCCTTCTTCACTCTATATTAGAGTCCATTCAAAAGGGATTAATTGATGGTGCAATCTGGTATTCACCATCTTTTAGCGAAGAATTCATTTCTACTAAAATAACTTTATCGGATGAAAAAACGGTTTCAATCTCAGATCTTTTATTAAACAAACACCCTGACTTACTTTTCACAAAGTCAACTTCACAATTTTCAATTTTAAACCAAACAAACGTAAAATTATTTTTAACAACTGGTGATATTACAACTTCTTACGAATCTTTATATACAGGAACTCCAATGTTAATACTTCCTGTATCCTTTGATCAATTAAGTAATTCGGAAAAATTAGTCGGATTGGGTGTTGCTTTAACGCTTCCAACCTATTTTTCTGCTGCTAAGGTCATAAAAAATATTGAAGAAATTTTAAATGATGTAAATATACAAAAGAATTTAAAAAAGACTAAATTGTTGGTAAGAATTAATAGTAAAAGAAAATATAGAGCTGCC